TGGGGGCTACATTTGCTCCTAGGTGGGAATAATAAACAATAAAACTTTGTACAGTTACTTTGTTTGCAAAGAGAGGAAACTACAATGTGAATATTATTCACATCTATTTATGCCTTTCCCATCCCTTGAGGAAAAAGAGCCAGTGCTCAGAGCTTTTTGAAGTCCTGCAGAGTCCTGGCACGATCAACAGTTGTGGGGAGTTGAAGCTTGCAAGAAACCTGTTGTGCACTGGGGGACTGGCACATCTGATTACACATCCTGCACAGAGTTTCCACCCTCTGAGGCCCTACTGACAATTCATAGGACTTCAGAGACCCTCCAACCTCCCACAGCTACTGACATGTCAGATAAGTTTAACCAATCTGGGGATACAAAGCTGCAGGAACACGGAATTTATTAAGTGTTGACTTAAATTTAACCCTTGTAGTACCTTTAAAATTTTAAAAGACAGTTTAACCTCGGGACCCCGAAAGGTCCCAAGGCAACAGGTGATATAGCAATATCATAAATGAATTCATTTTTTCACATCAAATCTTTTTAGCAACTTCAGACCTAACCATAGGTATACAGTTTTTCATATTTTTTTTTATTAATATTTGTATATTTCTATGCCCTTATTGTCATAAAGACCCCTGTTTTTTAACTGGAAAACCCCATAATCTGCAATATTTTTCAAAAAATTAGTTGCAAAATAGAATATTTGGCATGAGGTAATTGCAGCCTCGAATAGGTCAATAATTGACAACAACATTGCTTTGGATGCATTATTATTTTTTGGAGCAATGAGAGTTTAAAAAAAAAAGATAACTTTTGCCCTCGGGACCCCACATGATCCCGTTCACAAATGTGTTATAACAATGTCATATATAAATTCCCCCCCCCCCGCTTTATTAACATCAAATCTTTTCAGCAACCTTAGACCTAACCATAGGTATAATGTTTTTTATTATTATTTTTTATTAATATTTGTATATTTCTATACCATTATTGTCATAAAGGCCCCTGTTTTTTTATTGGAAAAAAACATAATCTGCAATATTTTCCAAAAATTGGTTGCAAAACAAAATATTTGGGATGAGGTAATTACAGTAATAGGTCAGTAATTGATAACAACATTGATTTAGATGCATTATTATTTTTGGATCAATGACACTTTTTTGCAAAAACAAACTGAACTGAGCTGAACAAACTCAACAACAAACTGAACAAAGATGTAATTTACTTTTTATAACATGAACCACAAAGTGTTTTCAAATGGATTTTGCAGACAGGGGAACCACATTTGCTGCAGTTGGTTGAGATCCTTCTGCGCTGTTTGCACGATGCGCACTGCTTCCGCTTTTTGGAAGGTGACTCCATCTCCTCCTCCTCCTGCTGCTCTTCCTCCTCTTCCTCCTGCTCTTCCTCTTTCTCCTGCTTCTTCTTCTTCTTCTTCTGCTGCTGCTGCTGCTGCTGCTCTTTGCCTTGGGCTTGTAAGACCAGGCTGATTGCAAACGGTGTTCTAGGCAGACGGCTTCTATTCATCATGGTCGGGGTGATAAGGGCTCTGCCAACCTGGTCTATGAACAGACGCCGGATATATCGCTTTCCTCCGTTCCACTTTGTGTCCACAGCAGTGAAGAGGACTAAAGCGTTGTAGCAGCTTACATCAAGCATGTGATACAGCAGACACATGGGCCACCTACGTGTCATCCGACGGCAGGAGTAGGTGCCACAAACCTGCAAAATAAAGAGAAATGATCAGATGACATGAATATATTTATACAACCCCCACTGTAACTATCCAAACTATCATCATCACATTTATGTTATCAGATAACTGATGGGACTCTCACAGTTATAACAACGAGTAACAGTAAATAATTTGGCAAATAACTGATGTATAATTGTGCTTACCTGATCTAGATGATCCACAGCCCCTTTGCACTTGTTATAGTCCAGGATGATCTGGGGCTTTTTCTTGCCAGAGTTCTCGACTTGTGGCTCACGGTGTTTTGTGCTCAACAGGAGAACATTTCTTGATTTCTTTGGCATATAGGATACCAAAGCAGTGTTGCGACTAAAAGCAAAGACAGAGGACATTACCTCTCTGTGTCGAATGTTCAGCAGCTGTGGGGGCAGCTCAGGTTTGTTAATCCTCAGAGTGCCCACCAGGGCCATCTTCCTTTTCCTCAATTCCTCTGCAAGAGGAAATGATGTAAAAAAATTGTCCGTTGTTACTGTGTGGCCCTTCAGCCCGTCTGTCAATTCAAGCACCACCTGCATTCCTTGACTAACCTCCCTCTTTTCTGATTCAGACCTCCCTGTGTACAACTGCAGCCTCCAGGCATAGGCGGTCTCCACATCGCATAGGGCCCAGATTTTTAGCCCATATTTTGCAGGTTTGAGGGGCATATATTGTTTGAATGAACAGCGGCCCTTAAAAGGGACCAGCTGTTCATCCACACATATTTCCCTCCCTGGATTAAAAAATTTGGGCAGGCGGCTACTCCACTTGCTCCATAAATCCTTTATAGGACCCAATTTATTCTCCCTGCCACCTGAACGGGAAAGACGATCGTCAAATCTTAGGGCCCGATTAATTTGCTGGAATCTTTTACTTGACATTGTAGCAGGAAAAAGAACACGTCCCGTCATCCCATCCCACAGGGTATTTGTAGCTTCATGTTGAGACCTGTAAAGGCCAGCCAGGAGCAGCAGGCCCATGTAAGCCCGCAGCTCCTCCTCTCCTACGTCTTTCCAATCTTTTACCGACCTCTTCCCCTGCAGGTTGGTAAAATGCCGGATTAGCTGCATAAGGTCCTCCGCAAAAAGAAGATCAAAAGCACTCACGGGGCTGCTGATCCTAGCAATTGCGTAATGGGTTGGTCCTGGGGTTAAAATGGAAGAAGGAAAAAATGGCAGGGTCTCTTCGTGTGTGGGACACCACAGGATTTCCCCATTTTTCGATCTCCACTGACTGTCAAGCTCCATTTTTGCCTCTTCCTCCTCCTCCTCAGACGAGCTGCAAGACTCCTCATTACCTGGCAGATATTCCTCCCCTTCTTCATCGCTAGTGCCATCTTTTTCGCTTTCGGAAGACTGCAAGACTGCAGCAACATCCTCGTCTGAATTCGATGTGGGCTTCATCGTGCAGAAATGACCAGTGTTGCAAAATCCTCAGTAAGGAAAATCGCTATCGGTGTCCTTTTTTCTCTCTCCAACCGCATGTACAAGAAGAACAACGGAGATTGACCACGTGACTTTCGCGCATTGCATTGTGGGTACGAGTAGCAACAAAATCAAAACACTGCATCAAGCGCTAGCATTTCCAGCACCGGTAATCGTTAATTCTGCGGTTTTAATCCCTAAATTTATTTGCCCACAAAACAGTTATGTACAAAACGAAGGCGAACACGGCATAGACAAAGACAGACTTGACAAAAAGGCAAAAAAAAAAAAAAAAAGTACGAGGAAAAAAAATCAAAGAAGTGAAAGGGTTAGCTCTATGGAACTCCAGGACTGCCATAATGAATTAATTAAATACACCATTAAATAATTAATTAAATGTGGCAATAATTAATTAAAATCGGAAATAGTTAATTACATAAATATTTACGACACATGTAATTAATTAATTAATTATTGCACATTGGAGTTTTGCCTACATCTGGTGATGAGAGTGCTCATTTCATCCTAAACCTATTTTTCCTTCATTGTGAAGCCAGAGCCTTAGATCCATTAGGTATTCAAGGGAAAAGCATTATAACATGTCAGGATTACAGTATGTTTGAAATATATGATTATAACAGAATTCAATGGGCACAAAAAAGGTACGAGAGCAAACAGTGTTGGCATATATGCCAATATCCTTTTTTATACACCAGTCTTTCTCAAACTGTGGTACACGTAACACTTGTGGTGCTTGGGCTCTTCTGGTGGGAAATGCATTAATACTCCAATTTCTTTCTTAAGGTTAAATGATATACCATTGTGGAGGTATGCAAAGACGACACGAGTCACACTGATGATAAAAACACAGCCCTTTTCCACGGTGCCCCGATCCTAGCCACCATCGATGAGGCCCCTGGGAGAATTGGTGGGGGCGTGGGAGATGCTGCTGGTGAGTCGGGAACTATTGTCTGAATGCTGAAGCTCCTGGTAGTCAGGAGAATTCAATCTGCTTCTTCTGCAGGTGAGTGGTAACCCTTCGCTGCCAGCAGCGGGGAGTTGGTGAGACCAGCTCGCACCGGCATGTCGGAGAAAGACGTGAGTGAAGAGAAATCCGCTCTCATCTGTTCCTAGCAAGGAGTGTGCTCTCCATGAGCTCGAGAGCGGTACCATCATCCAGGCCGTAAAGGGAGTAACACCGCAGCAGCAGCGCCTTGAGAGCGGTGTATTTTCCATGTAATCGCATGGCAGGATGCTAAACAGACCAAACTTCAGTCAGGACTGCAATATAAGGTTAGTCATTAATATACTGCTGCATGGGCTGGGTTGTAGTTACATCGTAAGATTTTAAAAACTGAGCTTTAAAATGAATAGTGATGATGAAAACCGTGACAGGCCGACAGTGATCATTGAATTATTTAGGGGCTTGTTCAGATTAAATAGAACAAGATACAAAGCGTTACAACATGTTAAAAACACAACAGCCTTAATAAATGCAGAGTAGTTTGGACCCGGAAGCAGGTTTCATCAGGTCATTAGTTAAAGATTTGATATCCCACCTGCTGTGAATGTTTTAATGTAGTACAGTTGTTATTATTATCACTTGTCACATCCTGTTTATGACAGTTAAAATAAATAGCATTTATATAAGAAATAAAATTGTCTGTGTAAACTGTATGTGGCCTATACTACTGTACTTTAAAGTCGGTCATAAGGGTGGTACCTCAAGAGCCATTTATTTTATGAGGTGGTACTCATTGTGAAAAGTTTAAGAACCACTGCTACACACCACACCATAGAGGGGATCATTGAAATTTAAAAATAATCCTAAAAAACACACCCTGGCCAAGTTTCATGCAACTAGTCTTTAAAATGACTGATATATTGAGAATCAAAAAATGAGCAAAATGAACATTTAGGGTAACAGACACCTGGACAATTAAAACGACAGTCTTTTTGAGGGGAGGGGGTGCATTTTAACATGCTTTCACACGTTAAATACAAAACACTAAGTGTCCTTGGTCTTCAGAAATGTCATAGTGTACACGGGTTTTTAACAGTCACAGCCAAAAAACAAAAAAGACACCCATTCCTCAAATTAACCGACATCAATGAAAAAATCCTTTTTAAGTCATAAGATGGAACTGACTTTCCATTTCCAAAATTTGGGATTAGCAAATCCGAGTGTCCAAATTCCTCCAAATGAAGCCCATTTATGGACATGCGGAGATGGATCAGTCATTCTTCTCTCTCTTCTCTCTGCGGGCTTTTCTCTTCAGCTGAAGGGTCTTCAGCTCAGTCATAGTGGAAAAGGTCCTGTACACCCACACCATCTGTCAAAGTATATTGTAGAGGGAGGGTTTGATTTTTTTTCTTTTAAAAAAAAAAAATCATATATGCCGAGAACAAATGCCAAACATACCACGATGATGACAGCATTAAGAAGAAGGGGAATCGAGAAAACCAAAGATATGAACATGCCCTTGGAATCAAAGTACTGGAAGTTTGAAAAGGACCTGCAAGAAACAGTGAAGCTTAAGAACATTTTCTTGGCTTTGACATATCGCCTGCAATATTTAGCGCAACAGTAGTAAAAGAAAATATGGGTGATCAATGGTGTTACCTCCAGTTTCTGGCAGCCAGCTCGTTTAGATATTCAGCACTATAAACCAGGCCAACTGTAAAGAGAGGGGATATCAGCCACAGGTTACACATGTACTACATGTAAACATCAAGTCATTTACATTTAAAAACTTCTGAAAAAACGTGTAAAAGGTATAGCAGATTTACTAATAACGATTAAGTTAACCGGTAGCTTTGAGATTTATCAGTATTAATTAGGCTTAATGTTAAGAAGCATTACGCTTTTTAACTGTAACTATTTTACATCATCACTATGAGCCAGTAAATATGTTTTCTGAGATTTCAACGTCAAAAATCAGGGGTTGGGGTTTGTTTTTGCAGTTTATCCATGAGAAAGTGTTCAAAAAATGTCATTTTTCAGACATAGTTTTGAGAGGCATTTGCAGACGGTGATAGTTAAGATAACAAACACTGGAAATGTTGGAAAGTCTGGTTCCTGATTGCATCATTGCTTGGCTGGTTTTGTGCGCAGCAGGGATTCTTACTCTGCATCAAATGGTCCCATTTTCCCTACTGTGAGGTCTTCTTCTGACTTTGGTGCTTTCACGTGTTTTAGGTTGACATGGAAAAAAATTACACTTCTCAGAGTGTTTCAGCAACACACTGGTAGGTTTTTGTGTGCTTAAAGCTTTACTTAACATATTAGCACTACTGCTAATGAGTATATTTTGTAATGAATCCAGGTCAGTCTATATAAAGAGCATTTAACAGTTACTAATACAGTAACTGTTTACTATCATCATCATCATGCCATACACATCAGGGATGTCAAATTCATTTCGAATTGTGGGCCAAATACATCCCATTTTGGTCGTAAGTGGGGCAGACCAGTGAAACTCCTCTTTCTGTCAGTGTAAAGAAGTTTGGAGATAATTTAATATAAAAGAGAAGTGCAATTTTAGTAAGGCATTTCAGTTTTTCTACTTGAGAAAGAAATGCTGCTTTGGGCTTAATAAATAAATGTGTAAAATAACAGAAAGAATTCTGTTAGCTCATTGTGCTGACTGTGATGTGATTATAAAGCAGATCAGCAGATTTGTATGGAGCCCCTCTGATGACATGGTCCAAAAAATAAATAAATTGTGGCCACAAAATACTATTTCGAGGACACGAAATAGGTATAACGTGCGCAGGAAATGCTAATTTGTGGGCACACTTGACCGATAACCGTGATCCTTCCCAGGCCCTTGCAGTTGGTTGACAATAAAATCTATCCCGGCGTCCAGGTCGTACTTACGTCTGTAAAGTAACTGGGCTCTCAATATCCTGTTTAAATGTCTCTCCGTAATAATGGTTCCTTGCATTGCCAGGCTTTTCAAAATGCATTTGTAGCTCATTCGCAGCCTAAAATAAAACTCAATCATACTGTCTCTGTCCATGGTGTATAGGTTTAGCCTACTCTTATGCTTATGTCTCTACGCAGCTGTCCAGGAATTGTATCAATATGATGTGCATACGCTATCTATTTTGTTGCTACAAATGCGTAATTCGTTGCCACATTATACCCAATTCGTGCCCACAAATTAGCATTTCGTGCGCACGTTATACCTATTACGTGCCCTTGAAATAGTATTTCGTGGCCACAAATAAGTATTTTGAGGGCACGAAGTAGTATTTTGTGGCCACAATTTTTTTTTTTTTTTTTTTTTAGCCATGTCATCAGAGGAGCTCCATAGATTTGAATTGAATTAAGATAGTTTAAAAAAAAAAAACAGGAACTTATTGTAATTTCACTGTTTATCTGTGACTTTCATTCTACTTTGGTGTAGTATGAATGGCCACAGTGGAGGTTATTATCAGTAGGAAAAGCTGTAAAACCAATTTTCCAAAGCTGTGCAGTAAGCCAGATTTTAGTATTTGGTGGGCCGATTCTATCTGATGTATAACACATCTGATGTAGAGTGTAACGTAGGTATAGCTGTGTATAATGTTGTCACTTGAACTCCTCCGGGGCAACTGGTTCACCTTTGCTGAAACTATAAAAGAATATCTAAGCTACCAAGATCTGTAACATCTATGTGGTCATGGATTTAAATATTTACTGCAAATAAAAAGTACAATTTCTTTTCCTGTGTATTTTCATATACATACTGTCTCATTGAGACTGGTTAGTAAACCATTCTTACATATGTAAATATAATGCAATGTTTGCATGTTGATATGCGCATTAAACGGTCACCAGTGAATTTAAGTTTTAAGAAATCTCAAGTTTTTATTTTCTTATCTGGCACGCTGTAGGGGAATCTGTGACACGGGGATATTTTGATACATATCCCTGTACATTTTATACACATCTCCATACAATTTTTCTCTACATATTCTGTACATTGTTACCTGTATATACGAACTTCGGTTGCTTATGTATATAGGAACACCTTGTGTCTTACTTTTATATTTTATTTTCCCTTGCTGTAAGATCTCTGTAACACTGAAATGTCTCATCCATGGGATAATAAAGGTTTATCCTACTCTATTCTATTTTATCGGCACATTTGTATTGTAGATACAAAGAACCAAGCCTAACATCTTATTTTCAATGCTTAGAATTAAAAGCTCCCATTATTGATATTAACGTGCGGGTTAAAGTGTCTGACCTGTAGCAAATCATTGAAAGTCATACCCTTCCCTCTTTTAGTGACCATGTAAATGTGTGGTTTTAAATCGTGCTTGATGTCATCGATAATTGAGCAGTAATTCAGGTAGTTAGGTTTATGAGTTAATGGCAGGTCAATAGTAACAATTAACAGAAAACACATGTATAAAAATCAATGTAAATATCAGCCGATGATATGAGCCGTACCACATACAGGATGGGGTCATTGCTCTCCTGTGTGATGATGCCTTTCAATGGCCTTCATGTTTCCCAGACAATACAACTGAGAACCTCTTGGATGTTACAAATTGGTGTATTTACTGTAAGATAATGCTACAGATTGTCCAGGAGCCAAAGGCACAGTCCCCAATCTCATCAGGAGCATGCCCAGGCATGGTCAGGGATGCACAGAAGCACATGGAGGGATAGACACCACTCAGGCACATTATGAAGGAAGTTGCATCAACCTTTAATTTCAATTTTAACTTTGGTGTGATTCAGAATTCAGCTCTCAAATAGTGGATTGTTTTAGTTCCCACTTACTAGGAATAAAAATTGAGAAACGGAGAACTTGAGAGCTGGTTCCAATTTTCAGAATCATACGACACTGAGTTTATCAACTCCTTTATCATTGCTTGCAGGTGCTGGAAATGCAAACTGACTGCAAATCAGTAACATCATACAAGCACATTTGGTGTTGCCATAAAAAGGGAGCCATGGGAGAGATTTGGGAGGTGAGAAGCGGTCCAAAGACTTGCTTAATTTGACAGTAACAGCTAGCTTTAATGTCTGCATCGATTATTGCATGATTAACATGATTATTTCAAGTAGGGAGTGGAAACACCAGCAACATTCTGAGACATCTTTCTACACAACATGAGATCCACTTATCTGATCTTACGCCATACATTTCTCAGCCAAGCAGCTCATCTTTTACTGACACCAAATTATAATAAAATCAAAGGCACATTTTACTTGCCTAAGAAAGCCTAAACGAGAATGAATGCCATACAAATATTCTCTATTTTCCCATTGTTAATGTTAATTGAGAGACTGATGCTACAGCGAACAATAGGCAGTAAGCTTGTTTGGGATTTAAGATAATAAGACAGCTGTGTATATATAGAACTGGGTAAAAAAAAAATCGATAAGGATGGATCAATAATGGCATAATGGACGCTTGTCTAAAGTTGATTTTAATAAATTACAGAGCGTATGTCAGTACAGACTTTTAACGTGATTATCAAGTTTCCTTCTTTCTTTCTTTTTGAACAGTGTAGTTTGTTTTGTGACACGTACCTACGAGCAGGAAGTGGCAGATCTGAGCTCTGTAATACTTGCAGGTGAGCAAAGTCAGGAACAAGCACACAGCATGAAACACCAGCAGACCGATAAGCCAGGGCTCGGACCACTGGACCTGCATACCAAGACAGAGACACACATACACAACCGTTAATGGAGCTGCCAAACTTGAATTAAACTGATAGGGACTCCTGTTAGCTGTAATAGCTGAAGCGTAGTTTGCTAGTCTCCGCTGGAATCGGGGAAACAAAATTGAGCTTACCGACATGAAGAAAGTCCATAACGACGTTATTCTTAAATTGCTGAATCCGTCGATGGGGATACTGCTAATATTGTCTGCTTTATTGACCGTCATCTTCTAAAAATATTAATTCTCCTGTGTGTAAACACCAGCACACTGCGGAAGTGACACGTTAAGTCGCAGCCGTTTGACGTCACATGACGATTAGTTTCTACCAATGACCGTAGAAAACAGTCGTCGTAGTAAAATATAATAAAAACTGAAGAGATAAGAAACTGAAAAGAATAAGATTGCTAGGCAAAAAAAAAAAGACTGAAAAAAATAAGTTGAAACGTCATAATTTTTAGTTACCGAATTCTACATTTCGAGCTACAACCTGAAATGTTGACTTACCAAAGGAAGAAAGGATGGGAAAAGAATCCATGACATGTGACATGTGAAACACTGGAAGTCCCAGGCTTTTCTAAGCCCAAGTCAGCCAAGTGGAAGCTAAATTGGCTAGTCTTTTAGCATCAATTCATATGTAAATTAGGTTGTTACTTGAGAAGTGGGGGAGTGGGGGTGTGTGAATGATTGCTGATTTCTAACTGCCAACTGCCTTTTTGTTAGTGTGTGGGGGTGGGGAGCTGCTAAAAGCTGTGAACTTACCTTTTGTGTTGAGGTCAATGAAATTGTCATCTTGCAGGGTTTACTAGGCTGCTGGTCAGCAAACCTGTGAAACCCACAGTATAACCCTAACCCTGCAGTATATTGCAAGTAAACCTGACAAGTTTGGGATCAAGTTTTGGGTGGCTTGCGACCTAAAATCCAAGTACATTTGCAATGTCTTCCCA